ACGGGAGGGGGGGGGTGGGGGGGGGAGGGAGGAAGGGAAGGGGAGTTTTTTGCTTTGTCCTCTTATCAGACTTGCTTGCCCGCCTGTGTTACAATAACAACATCACCCCCTGTGTTTTGTTGTTTTCCCCGAAGGCGTCGTCCATGTGTTTCCTTGCACTTCCCCTTCCCTTCCGCCCTCCTCCCTTCCTTCCCTCTTCTTACTCCCTTCCCTCCCTTCCTCCATCCTGTCATGGTGGCTCCTTTGTTTGCTCACGCGCCCATCCCTCGTCTCCACTTTGTCTTCTTCCTCCTCCTTCTCCTGAGGATCTTCCTCAGCTTCTCTTCGTTTTCCCTATTTTCTTTCCTCCTTCCCCCTTTTTCCTTTTCCCCTTTTCTTCTTTTCCCCTCCTCCTCTTTCATCTCCTTATCCTTCTCCCCTCCTCCTCCCTCCTTCTCTTCTTGTGAATCATCCCCAACCTTTTTGGCCTCCTTCCTTTGGTCTCTCCGTCCTTATTAATGATGCTTCTCTTTTTCTCTTTCTTTTTCCACTCCACTCTTTTTTTATTATTTTCCTCCTCCCATTTTTTCTTTTCTCCTTCATCCTCCCTCCCACTCTCCCCCTCCCCTCCCCCTCCCCCTCTCCCCTCTCCCTCTCCCTCTCCTCCCCTCTCCCCTCACCCTCTCGCCATCTCCCTCTCCCTCCTCCCCCCCCCTCCCCCGCACCTTCGTGAGTGCCGGCGCCGAGGGTATCAGTTTCGCTCGCACTTGGAGGCCGTCGCGGCGCCCGGCGATGACGCGGCCGGGCCTTACAAGGGGCGCGGCGACGGCTGAGGGATGGGGCCGCGTGGCTCATCCCGGGCGCTGGGATGTCCTCCTTGGCGGCGCCCTTTGTGGACTGGAGGGGAGGGGAGGGAGGGAGGGAGGGAGGAGGGAAAGGAAAGGGAAGGGAGGGGAAGGGTGGGGGAGGATGATTAGGGAAGGGAAGAGAGGGGAAGGGTGGGGGAGGGAGATTAGGGAAGGGAAGGAGAGGGAAAGCATAAAGGAATGTAAGAAAGGGAGAGGGAGTGAAAGAGAAGAGGGAGGGAGAATGAAGTGGTTTAAGTGTGCTGGAGGGATAAGAAGACCCGAAGGGTGTAAGATAGAAGAGAAATTTATCCTGTGGAATGCAGTGCTTGCAGTGAAATCCACGCAAGACTGCTTGACGCTCCTACCTGCCTGGTCCTGCCCTCGGGACGTGAAAGCACACTGAACAACTTACATACTTGTAAAGCTACCAAGGCGCTTTGAGGAGTGTGTGCAAACGCGCGCTGTGTGTTTACCTTGTCTGTGTATATTGTGATACTCGTATTATATCTGTGTGTTATTGGTTACAGAGTTACAGCTGTGCAATACCCAAAATTGTGTTGAATCGCGTGACCCAGTAGATTAGCCTCATTGAACCGAGCTCTTCCGTGCGCTGGCCAGCCTCAGTGGGAAAATGAGAAAGATGAGAGTGCTGGCGGGCGCGCGAGGGAGATGATCCCGCAGCAAGATGCTGGCGCCCACCTGGCCGAGATCCGGTGTGGACTAGCGTCGCGTCGCCTACCTGGACGTGCCCGGCCGACGTAGCGGGGATGTCCGGCGTCACCTAGCGGCTGCCACTTCCCGTGACCTTGCTGAGTGACAGTCGCTGCCCTCCGGCGAGCCCTCCCGCGTCCGAGGAGCCGGAGGAGAGAGGGAAATATCTTTTTGTGAGGAGTGATCGACCACGAGCGCCCCGAGCGAGAGAGGGCGAAGAAAGCGCGCCGCCATGACGTCCACCATCCGGGGGTACCTGACCCTCCGGCGGGGCAACAAGAAGAAGAAGCAGCAGCAGCGCGGCAACATCTCCGACCTGTTCTTCAGCGTGACGTCCTCCTCCGTCGGCCCCGTCAGCCTGGTCTCGCACCGCCACTCGCGCTCCTTCCTCGACCTGCGGGACCTGAGCGAGGACGCCTTCAAAAGAGTAGGTTCCGACGCCGCCGCTTGGCTTCCGTGGGGCTTGGCTCGGGGGGAGGGCGTGGGAGGGAGGGAGGGAGGGAGGGAGGGGGGTCTCTTTGTTTGCAGTTTTATGAGGTTCTGTTCGATTGTGATTTCGTCAAGGCGAATCTTTTTCTTTCCAAGTCATTTTTTTCTGAAACACCCACGCCTGTTTCAGGCGAGGGTATTGAGTCGGTATTGCATTTATCGGTAAAGTCAGTCATGGATTTGGAGTATTTCACAATTTCCGCATTTTCCGTCCTTCGGTATTTCTATCACACCTCGACATCCTCACGGTTAGTTCGGTAACGGATAACACCCCCCCCCTTCCCCTCTTCCCTCTCCTCTCCTTCCCCTCTTTCCTCTCCTCTCCCCCCTCTCCCCCTCCCTCCTCCCTTCCTTCCCCCTCCCCTCCCTCTCCTCTCCTCCCCCCTCTCCCCTCTCCCCCCTTCCCCCCTCCCCTCCCTTCCCTCCCCCCTCCCCCCTTCCCTCCTCCCTTCTCCCTCTCCCTCTCCTTCCCCCCTCCCCTTCCCTTCCCCTTCCCCCCTCTCCCTCCCTCCCCCCCCCCTCCATCCTCCTACGATATGGCATTCCTCGAAACGTGGGGAGGAACGAGACGCGCTCCTCGCTGCCCTTCGTCGGGAACAGCGGAGAGAGTCCTTCCTTCCGAGGGGTCGAGGGGAATGGTTTTATTCCTCTGTTTTTTTTCGTTTTTTTCGTTTTTTTTTCTTTTTTTCTTTTTTTTTTTTTGCTCTTTTTCTTTTTCTTTGGTTTCTCTTTTTTTTCTTTCTTTTTCTCACTTCTTTTGCTTGTTTTTCTCTTTTTTCTTTCTTGTTCTCTCTTCTTTTCCTTCTTTTCTCCTCTTTTTTTCTTTCTTTTCTCTCTTTTTTCTTTCTTTTTCTCTCTTTTCCTCTTTTTCTTTTTTCTTTCTTTTTTCTCTCTATTCTTTTTTTTTTTCTTTCTTTTTCTCCCTTCTTTTCTCTCTTTTTTTCTTTTTTCTCTTTTTTCAACGGGAGGTGGAATACCGTGCATGTTCTGGGTTGCTTGTGTGCATGTTTGTTTAATGGAGGGATTAGGCAGTAGCGACACTATGTAATTGAGGTAAATGCAGTAAAGAAGACAGACCGATAGATAATGGATAAAGATCGTTTATCGCGGACTGATTAGATTGATAAAAGACGTTCAAAACAAGTATGGGGGCGATTGACGGCCGCCGCAGACAGCGCGGGGGCGTCATAGGTCACGGTCGCCAGATTTCGATATGTCGCCGCTGGAGAAGCTGAAACGAAGAACTTGAGTGGGTTGGGTTGATTGACCTCGGGGGGGGGGGTGTTCGCGAAGGCGTGAGGAGAGAGAGAGAGAGAGAAGGAGGAGGGAGAGAGGAAGGAAGGAGAGGAGAGAGAGAGAGAGAGAGGGAAGGAGAGGAGAGAGAGAGAGAGAGAGAGAGAGAGAGAGAGAGAGAGAGAGAGAGAGAGAGAGAGAGAGAGATTAGAACTGAGAGTAAAGGGAAGAAGAAGAGAGAGAGAGAGAGAGAAAGTAAGGGAAGGAGAGAGAGAGAGAGATGGAAGAATGAGAGACAGACATACAGACAGACAGAGACAGATAGAAGGTAGTTAGAGAAAGAGAAGCAGAAAGAAATAAGAGATCGAAATACCGAGAGAGAATCCGAGCGAAGAGCAGCCCGCCCGCGCGCGTGGGTGGTGGGTGGCGGCGTTATCTACCGGGAGTAAGGAATTCCTGGCGCTTATCCTGCGTCTTCTGCGCTGACGTCACTCGACTCGCGGGCTATCTCGCCGATCGGACGGGACCGCGATAAGAGGCGGGTTCAATGCCGACAGATAACATTGATACGGGGTGGGAGGGAGGGGTGGGGGGTAAGGAGGGTAAGGGGATGGGGGATGGGGGATGGGACGAGAGGGCGGGTTTGGGTGGATGAGGGGAGAATGGGGAGGGAACCTGGGGGGGGGGAGGGAGGTTGGGTGGATGAGGGAGGAATGGGGGAGGGAACCTCGGGGGAGGGGGAGGTTTGGGTGGGATGAGAGGAAGGGGGAGGGAGGGTCTTTTGTATAAACAGGTGATGGGGCGAATGGGGAAGAGGGAAAGAGGGGGGGATAGATAAACAAGCAGAGGACTGGCAGTTCCGGTTCGCGTAGGGAGGAGGAGAGGGAACGGCGGAGGAGCCACAGGGGAAGAGGAGAGGCCAGTGGGGGGTAAAGTCCCGCGGGGAAGAGAAAACGGAGAGGGGATAAAACAGGAAGGAAAGAAAAAAAAAATAATAATGAGAAGGGCTTGAGTCACAGCGGACAAGGGGAGAGAGGGGATATAATTAGTGCCACGAAGATTAGTGCCATGATCCTTTCCCCTCCCTTCCCTCCCCCCCATGCTCTTACCCATTCCTGGTGAAGCGGAAGTTGTGGCTATTTTGGGGTAACGCGTTTAGCAAGGCGGCGCCAAGGGGGGCCAAAGGGGGGGGGAGAAGACGAGGAAGAAAGGAGGAGTGACCAGGGTAGAGGGAGAGAGAGGGAGAGGGGAGAGAGAGAGGAGAGGAGACAGGGGAGAGGAGACAGGGAGAGAGGGAGAGAGGAGAGAGGGAGACAGGGAGACAGGGAGAGAGAGAGGAGAGAGAGAGGGAGAGGGAGACAGGAGAGAGAGAGGAGACAGGGAGAGAGAGGAGTTGTGGGTAGAAAATCGGTTATATACCGTGTATGTATATTTATTTGTATAAGTATATAAAATGTATACTTACACACACACACAACACACACACACACACACACACACACACACACACACACACACACACACACATACATATATGCATATATATAGCAGTATTTATGCACAGATTGATATTATATACAAATGTGTGTGTGTGCCTGTTTACACATTTATTTATTGATATGTCCATGCCTCTATACATAAATCTATCAAGTGGACGTCGTGGAGAGTTGGCTTCAAGAGAGACAAGTCGAGGGGCGAGGCATGAATGGCCGGCTTGTTGTTGGTGTGTTGCTGGGTTTTCTCTCCTTCGTCTCTTTCTGGGGGCGCTGCGGACACGCTTTGCTGTGCGCGGCGGGGGGTGGGACCTCGTGCTCCTGCCGGCTCGCTCAAGGGCGCCGGGGAGAGTTAGAGAGAAGAGAGAGAGAGAGAGAGAGAGAGAGAGAGAGAGAGAGAGAGGGGGGGGGGGAGGGGGGGGGAGAAAATTAGGGGTTTAACGCTGGGAGAGAGAACAAGGACTTCAGTCCGGGCATTCAGGCGGGCAAGAACATGCGGTTTGAAGGAAATGCCCGCTACCAAGAACGGCAGGGGGGAGGGGGAGGGGGGGGGTGACACCATCTGATGTGCATCTTTCTCATGTGGCGTTATGTGCGGACAGATGTTCATGAATTAGATCAAGTGACGGCAGTTGTGTCTTCCAGCAGGTGTCGAATCAAGTCGCCTACTGGCCAGGTGCGAATGCGCTCGGTCCAGTCCAGCCGGCACACGCGTGGCCAGATGTGGAGGCGTTACCTGGATGGGCGCATGATAATGGTCTTCTGATGCTGTGCATGGCCGCGGGCCCTCGTCTCGTATCGGACTGGGATATCACACATTCTACAGGTGGTCGGGCGTTTTGCAATGGCCAGGTGGGCTTGCAGGCAGATGAGAGAGACCTGCGTGTGGGCGACTCCCGTGCGTGTTGCCACGGGGGTCGGGCGCCCGTCGGAGGCGTAGCGGCATGCCCTTCATCAGCTGTCTCCCCGTGGAGGTGGGCGGCGGCGGCGGCGGCGGCGGCGTGGCTGCAAAGGGCACGGGGGCGCGTGGCGGGGCGAGGGGCTGGGCGTCACAGTGAGCGCAGAACGGGGTTAACAGAGGGAACTTTCATGGCGAGACAAGACGCCGGTCAGGGCCTCTGGCTGGCCGCTCGAAAGGGAATCTTCTGGTTGACGATGATGATGATGATGATGATGGGGAGGGTGGTAATGATGATGGTGATCAGTTTCGATGGCGGCGGCGCAGGTGGTGGAGATTGATGATAGTGACGATGGCGCGGCGCGTAGGGGCAGGGTAAAAGGTCATTGCTCCACTGCGAATATGGTACGCCCGGTTTTTTCTCAAGCGAGGGAGCCTTGACATGAGGAGGGGAAGGGGAGGAAGGGAGGGAGAGGCAACGAGGGCTCTTAGCATTTCCTTATCCTTCCCCTCCCTCCCTCCCTCCTTTCTCTCTCCCTCCCTTCCCTCCTCCCTCCCATGCACCATGTGTGCCGCGCTGACATGTGGCTGTCCCATCGTGGTCGGCTGGCGAGGGCGGGACGCCATGTGGTGCCATGTGGCGCGGAGCAGGTACGCAGGGCGTGTGAGCAGCGCGGACTTGACTCTCGAAGGATTCCAGGCGTCTGTGTTTGTTGTTTATTTTTAGAATTATGACGAATCGTAGCTTTATTAACTGATAGAGAGTAATTATCAAACAAGAGATCGACTCGTGATGATCCCGGAAGCGAACAGCTGCCACAGGACCCTCCTCTCCGCTGTCTCATCCCCCTCTCCCTCCCCCCCTGATGTGTCTGTCCTGCCATACTTTTTTTTCCCTCCGTGCCGTGGGAGGCAGGCCACGTGGGGGGGGGGGGCGAGGTGCCGGCGACGACCGTTGGGAACACGTGGATCCTGTGAGTCATGCGGGCGGGCGGCAAGGGCGCGCGTGAAGGGAAGAGCCGTCGTCCGGGAACACGTGTCCGCATGCACGTTTCGGGGGCACGCGCGCGAGGTAATCCCCGGCGGATCGTGACGGGAGGCGCACGCGGCCGGATGTCCCCCGTGCGGCGTCAGGGCACCCGGGGGGAGGGGGAGGGAAGGGAGGGGGAGGGGGAGGGGGAGGGAGGGGGGGGAGATGCCTCCGTGTGACCCGAAGATGACACGGCGGAGATCTGACTTTCTCTCTCTCTTTCGTTGGATCGTGCTGTCATTTTTTTTCTCTCTGTTCTGTCCTGTTTTTTTCTCTCTCTCTTTGTCTTTCACTTCTCTCTCTCACTCACTCTCTCCCTCCTCCCTCTTCCTCTCTCTCCCCCTCCCTCTCTCCACTTCTCCCTCCCCTCCCTCTCCCTCCCCTCCCTCTCCCTTCCCTCTCTCCCTTCCCTCCCTCTCCCTCTCCCTTCCAAACGACGAGCGAAGGGAAGAGCCTCACTTCAGCGCAGACGACCCCCTCCTCCGTGGATTTCCATCCGGGTCATTTCACCTGCGCTGACCTGTCTTTAAGAGTCTCCCATTAGCTTTAATAGGCTTAATGGAATCTCATTATTGACTCGCGATTAATGTGAGGTCATTAGCCTCTCCATTCCTTTGTGTTGGCGAAGTACGACGTTATTTTCGCAAGGCATTCGGCGGCGTTTCCACCCGTCATGATGGGGTGAAGGTAGTGTACGAGAGAGAGTCGACTCGCCGGGCAGTCGAAGTGTCTTTTGGTCCGTTCTTTTTTTTTTTTTTTGGGGGGGGGGATTTTGGTAAATTCGTATTTGAAGGGATGCTTTTTGATTTGTTGTTTATTTGTTTGTTTGTTTTATTTTGTGACAGTTGTGTTATTGTTTATTTCTTTGTTTGTTTTATTTTGTGACGGTTGTGGTTGTATTTTTTTTAAAGAGAGCTTAAAGAGAGCAGGAGTGAACGCACTTGTTGAGTCACAACCTGTTTTTAGCGTTTAATTAATTCGAGATCATGACTCCGCGGCGTTATCGGTGCAGGCCTGGTCATGCAAGGTGGCCTAGGGGGTTGAGTGGGGGGGCGAGGGGGCGTGGGGGGCGGGGGGGGGACGGAGGACGCGTGCACTCGCTGACATGACCTGACGACGGCGCGGCCAGGGGGGGGGGGGCGATGACGGGGCCCGCCTCGTTTTCTTCTGAGTGTAATTCTCGTTTTTTATTTTCGTATCTTTGTGGTCTCTTTCGTCACATTTCTGAGTTTTCATTTTATTTCCCATTTTCGTCGTCACTTTTCCTTCTTTTCTCTCCTTCTTTCTTTTCCTCGTCGAGCATCCTCTTCCGAAATCCTAACCACGAATTGCCACAGGCGTCATAAGAGAAGTAAAGAAAGAAAGAAAGAGAAGAAAAGAAAGAGAGAGAAAGAAAAAAGAAAGAAAGAAGAAAAAGAAAAAGAGAAAGAAAAAGAAGACAGAGAAGAAAAAAGAAAAAAGAGAAAGTCAGAGAAAGAGAGAGAGAGAGAAACGAAAAAAGAAAGAAAGAAAGAAAGGGTTAGAGAAAAAGACGTTAAAGTATAGCATCTTCTTTCCCCGCGCGTTTGAATGGGCGGCTCCCATCGAAACGGCCGTTATTCCGTTATTGGCACTTGGGCGGCGTAGTGCCATCACGGGCGGGGACAAGTGCGCAAGCGGATCACGGGCGGGCGGGCGTATTGCACATGCGCGAGACGTGGCTGTGTGCAAAGTGGGCGGAGCGAGGACGGGGTGGGGGGGGGGTAGGGGGGAGAGGGAGGTCTTATTTTCGTTTTTTTTTTCTTATTTCTTGTTACTTTAGTTTTTTTTTTCTTTTTTCTTGTTACTTTTAGTTTTTTTTTCTTTTTTCTGTTACTTTTCTTTTTTTTTCTTTTTTTTTCTATTGTTTTCTTATTTGGATTTGGATTGACTTTTGCGAGGTCGTAAGTCTAAAAAGCGAAATAGGAGAGGAAACAGGAAAGGGGTGAGGTTAGGAGGAAATAGAACAGGAGAGAAGAAAGAAGGGAGAAAGATAAATGAACGAGAGGGCGGGAGAGGTGAGGGGTGGGGGGGGGGTGTGTTCTGGCCGGCGGGCGTGTGTGGGCGTTCCAATCCGCTTAAAAGATTTTATGAATCATCACGTCGCCTGCCGTTACGACGATGACGTAGGGGTGACGTCACGTGTGCCGCTGGCGTTTAAATTTTTCTCTGTGTGTGTTTGCGTTGGTGTGTTGTGTGTGTGTGTGTGTGGTGTGTGTGTGTGTGGTGTGTGTGTGTGTGTGTGTGTGTGTGTGTGTGTGTGTGTGTGTGTGTGTTTTTTATATTGACATTTATAAAATCTTAGATTTATGTCCTTAACATCTGATATGATTAAAGTTGATACTAATTTGATTTTTTTTCTCTTTTTCCCAGGTGAGTGTTCCCGATGTTTCTGTCCTGGGCGAGAGCGGAAGGTGAGTCCCTCTTCCTAGTTGACATTACAAACTTTTTCCCGCGTTAAAGTTTGTCTATTTTTTTTCCTCCAACTTTTCAAAAATTCCTCGTATTTTTCTGCGAATCGCGGGTTAGTCAGTCCAACGGATGGTGACTTTTCCCGCCTCTGGTCTCTCCCGGCCGGAAAATGGCACCATTATTCGTTCGTTAATGGATTTATTTATTTCCCTGGCTTCGGTTATTGCTGTAGGATGAGCAGGAGGCCTAGCCATAGCGGGAATACTTGGGTTTGTTGATGTCATCGGGTATAGAAAACGTGGAGCGGTGAGGGGATTGTGATTGGATTGAGTCTCCCCTAAAACGTGCGAAAGAAAACGGGGTGTGGCGATTGTGTTGGTGCGACTTCCGTAGTCTTTTTATCTCTTATCCGTCTCGGGTTTATTTTATCTGATTTATTGATGGTTATCTTTGTTTTTTTTTCTCTCTCTTTACATGGAATTATAGGGAAATTCTTTGTCTTTACAAGCGTTAGGCTTTTTTTTTTTTTACTTTTTTTTTTTTACTTTTTTTTTCTGTATCTCAGGTTGGCTTTTAAACTGGAAATTCTTAATAGTTCTGTCACCTGCTGAGTCCCGCGCTGACCTCGGAGCCCTCTTGCTGTCTCGCTTAAATTCCCATTAGCATCATTTTCCCTTCTTCCTCCTCTTTCTCTCTCTCTGCCTCTCTCTCTCTCTCTCTCTCTCTCTCTCTCTCTCTCTCTCTCTCTCTCTCTCTCTCTCTCTCTCTCTCTCTCTCTCTCTCTCTCTCTCTCTCTCTCTCTCTTTCTTCCACCTCTTTCGTCTTCCTCTTGGGCATCATCGTTAATTGGCCCTTCGCTTATGGGTATCATTTCCGTTAGTGAGAAATGCCCAATAAATTTGCCAAATATCCCCCCCCCCCCCGGTACCCCTCACACACCCCGCTTAGGCCTCGACTGTAGGCCTACCCATCACACCAGGCGGGCGTCTCAGCGCCTTCGAGCGGGTGACACTGTATTGTGTCTACCTGGGGGGGGGGGGGGAGGTTGTACCTTGCACCCCCCTCCCCCACCCCCTTCCTCTACCTCCTGCCCCCCCCCCTGCCCTCCCCCCCCCCCCCTTCCTCTACCCCTGCCCCTCCCCCCTCTCTCTACCTCCTGCCCCCCCCCACCTCCTCTACCTCCTGCCCCCCCCCCATATCCCCCTTTTGAATGTTGCTTAAGGGGATGTACTAATGGGAGGCGGCCTTATCGCTGGTGTTAATTACGGGGGGGTAGGGGAGGGGAGGGGGGGCAGGGGGCGGGGCGATAAGATTAATCTATTCGTCGGGATAGGGATGTGTTTTGTAGGTGTGTGTGTGTGCGTGTTGGACGGCGGGGTGTTTGCTGCTGTGTGTGTGTGTGTGTGTGTGTGTGCTTGGGCATGTACACGCGTACACACACGGTCAGTCTTTCACTCGAACGCAAGCGCACACACACACACACACACCACACACACACACACACACACACACACACACACACACACACACACACACACACACACACACACACACACACACACACACTCATACACTCATACACTCATACAGACACACACACACACACACACACACACACACACACACACACACACACACACACACCACACACACACACACACACAACACACACACACACACACACACACACACACACACACACACACACTACAAACACTACAAACACTACAAACACACACCTACTTACCTATCTTCAACTATTTACAAAACCACACTTGCTCACAGATTTACGCATTCGCACGCACGCCCCCCCCCCCACTCCGTCTTGGTCACCCTCCCCCTCTTGGTCACCCTCCCCTCCCTCCCTCTTGGTCACCCCCCACTCCCTCTTGGTCACCCCCCCCTCCCCTTGGTCACCCCCCCCTCCCTCTTGGTCACCCCCCCACTCCCTCTTGGTCCCCCCACTCCCTCTTGGTCACCCCCCCTCCCTCTTGGTCACCCCCCACTCCCTCTTGGTCACCCCCCCCCTCCTCTTTGGTCTTTCTCGCGAGGGAGATGAAGAAGGAGGCGACCTTGAGGGTTCAGGGGGCGAGCCAAGCGTAAACACAAGAGCCGTTTTGTTGTCCGTTCGCTTTCCGTCCGCTTTCTTGTTCCTCTCCTTCTCTTCCCCTCTTTTCCTTCTTTCTCTTGTTTGTTTTTTTCTTTCGCTTGTTTGTTTTTTTCTTTCTCTTGTGTGTTTTTTCTTTCTCTTGTTTTCTTTCTTTTGTTTTGTTCTTTTGTTCTTCTCTTTTTTCTTTCTCTTGTTTTTTTCTCTTGTTCTTTCTTTGTTTTCTTTCTCTTGTTCTTTCTCTTGTTTCTTTCTCCTTCTCTTTTCATTTCTCCTTCTCCCTTCTCCTTCTCTTGTTTTTTTTCTCTCTTTTTTATTATTTTCCATTTTTTTATATTCGATTCGTTCAGTTTGGCTGTGTGTATGTACGTATGTTTGTCTGTCGGTTGATATTTCTCGTTTCTGCTTTTTTTTTTTTATCTATCTATCTATCTATCCCGTTAACTCATCCTTTTGATAAGTAAACGCTTGTCATAATCTGTCAAAGTCTCTCTCTCTTTCTCTCTCTCTCTCTCTCTCTCTTCTCTCTCTCTCTCTCTCTCTCTCTCTCTCTCTCTCTCTCTCTCTCTCTCTCTCTCTCTCTCTCTCCTTTCTCTCTCTCCCTTTCCTCCTCTCCCTCCCTCCCTCCCTCCCTCCCTCCTCTCCTCCCACCTCTCCTCTCCCTTCCTCCCTCTCCCTTTTCTCCCTCCTCCCAGTCTTTCTTTTCTCTCTCTCTCTCTCCCTCCTCCGTCTGGACTTCAGATCCGTTTTGCTTTTGGGTTTGAAGCGGGCGCTCGAAGTGGCAGACAGGTGGCCGCTTGCAGGGGGGGGAGGGGGGGGGCAGAAGGGGATTTTGAAGAGGGTGGAAGAGGGGGTGAAGAAGGGGGTGAAGGGGGAGGACGAGGAGAGGTGAAGGAGGTGAGTTTAGGGGAAGAAGGGGAGTGGAGGAGGTGGGTGGTAGATGGAGAAGGGAAGAGGTGGTAGGAGAGGAGAAGAGAGGAAGAGGAGGAGGATGTAGGAAGGAGAGGAAGAGGAGGAGAAGGAGAAGGAAGGAAAAGAAGGAAAAGAAGGAATGATGAAAAGAGGGAAAGAAGGGCAGTGATATGGATATGGAAAAGGTAGAAGTAGATAGAGAGAGAAGGGGTCGATTCGCTCTCAGGGGGGAGGGGGGAGGGGGAAGGGGGGGAGGAAGCGCGACACGTTCCCTCCCCCCTCCTCCTGCCCTCCCCCCCCCCTGCCGCTTATCGGAGGGTATCAGGGCCAGGAGGGGTGTAATGGAGGGCCGTCCATCCCGCCGGAGACACAGGTACGTGCCCAAGGAGAGATGGTATCGCCGCTGCTACGCATGACCCTTTTTTTTTTTTTTTTTTTTTTTTTTTTTTATCTTTGTTTTCTTTTTATCTTTTCACTTTTTTCATTTTCTTCTTTTTTTATCTTTTCACTTTTTCACTTTTTCTTTTCTTCTCTCTTTTCTTTTCCGTTTTTTTTTCTTATTTATCTTTATCTCTTGTTTTTCTTTTTTTCGTGTTTTCTCTCTCTTTTTTATGTTATAATTGGCCTTCTTCAAAAAAAAAAGGGTTGTCAGTAAGATATTTTTTTATTATTATTAATGCAAATTGCCTTTATTGCTATTGATACTGTTAGTTATTTATTTTATTATTTTCATTTATCTTGTCATTGTCATTCACATTATTGAATTGACGAATAACACAAGTAGGGAGGATCGTAAAAAAAGAGAGAGAGAGAGAGAAGAGAGAGAGAGAGAGAGAGAGAGAGAGAGAGAGAGAGAGAGAGAGAGAGAGAGAGAGAGAGAGAGAGAGAGAGAGACAAGAGAAGAGAGAGAGAGAAGAGAGAAGAGAGAGAGACAGAGAGAGAGAGGGCGGCCTCTGAAGGGGCGTGGCGGTCTTCGCAACAGCACGTTCGTAGTCGCTGCGTCCCCCCCCACCCCCCACCCACCACCCCCACCCTGAATGGGCGGCGTCGTGGTCTTAAGCAACGGGGAATGCAGGACGCGTCGGCCGAGGAAGCATTCCCTACGTCACTGCGCTGTGTTCGGCTCGCTTCGTTATCTGCCTTTATCTTGTCTTTTTATTGTTTCTTTTGTGTTGTTTTTTTTTTTTTTGGGGGGGGGGTTGGTTTTGTTGTGGGGTTTGCGTGTGTGTGTTATCTTTCTTTTTTGTTTTTTTTTTGGTTAGTTTTGTTGTTGTTTTTTTGTGTTATCTGTTGGGTTTCTTCATTGGTGTTGCTTTATCTTCGATTTTCTTTTTCTTTCTATCTTCTTGGTTTCCTTCTTGTTTTTTTTTCTCCTTGGCCTTCCTTCTTTCATCTATCTCTTCTCCCCCCCCCCCCCCCATGTTCCCCTTCTTTCGTATTTCTCCATCTTTCTCTTTTATTTTTCTCTCCTTCGTTCTCCTCTCTTTTTTTCTTTTACGCTTTTTTCTCTTCCCCATTTTCGCTTCTTCCCCTTTTCCCATATTTTGCTTCTGCCTCGTCTCTCCCTTTCTTGCTTCTTCTCAGGGAAAACTTCGAAAGCCGCCCTACATGCTCCTAATTACGCCGAGGATAATGGCGGTGTGTGTGTGTAGAAGTAGATATAAGTATATATACATACACAGATGCATACATACATACATATACATATAATTATTTATGTATTTATTCATATATGTGTTTGTATGTGTGTGAGTGTTTCTGTCCGCGTGTGCGCCCCGTGCCCCCGCATGCCTTTCCTTATGCGTCTCCCTTCACTGGGCGCCGAGGTGCATACACTGCATGCAAAGGCCCATTGCATAAGGACGGGCGAATGCCATAGTAGCTGTGACGTAGATTCTTGCATCGCTTGACGTCACGGGCGGCATGGCCTGCCACGAGCGTTGACCTGGGGCGGGAGGAAAGCCCTGGCGTCGTGCACGGCGC